AGTACTCGGCCAAATATTCGGCATCGCCACCGATACTAGTATCGGTGCATCCCTAATTAGAACTTCTGTCCACTTCTGATTTCAAAGCCGATTCTACATTCCCAATCCAAGATTCAAGTACCCTGGCTAGAGACGTGAGCCACAGCCTCCTAAATAAAGGTTTGAACCTCCCTTCCTTCGGACTCCTTTCCACCTGCCGTGTCTTTGAAGCAGGACTCACATGCAAGCTTCCCCGGCATCACTCAAGCACCATAGGCCCAACACTGTCCAGCTGGAGGGCGAGGAGACCTACGACGATATCCATAAAAGACTAACACGAACCTCCGTACCCCTCTATGGGAAGCGTGACTTTCTTTTCTGCTGAGAACTACTTACTGACCTCCGACGGTCTGAACTATCTGAATGGTCATGGCGTGACTTGGAGGATTTTCTGGAGGCTTTCTTGTGGTGTGGCTTAGGGTTTCTTCCCCTGGAAACAACCAAGAATGTTAGGAGCAGGCTCAGAAAGAGCTGACTCTTCATAGTCCTTTAGGTCCTCCCCCCCTCCATACCTAGAAACTGACTTCTGTGCCTCTGGAATGGCAGGAAAAACAACCATAGCCTGAAGACAGATACAAGCAGTCTAAGCCAGAAGCATCAGCAGACAAGCTCACAAGCAGACACTTACAGATCCACACTCTCACACTGACTGGGCTACACAGAGCCTCAGCATGTGAATAAGAGAACGCAGGGCAGAGAAGGCTTGGCCAGCTACACCAATCACCACCGAATAGGCTTGGCCAAGCCACCCAATCCGAGGAGGGGAGGCGCACACGTGACTTTACAGTGGGAGGAAGTGTAACGCCTGTATGGACTGAAGTAGTGTGGATCGCAGCTGCGGAGGCTTCTCAGGTATGGAACCCTGGTTTCACTCTCTCAGTTTTAACAGAGAGTTAGGGTTCCTCGCATCACAGCCTCAGGTTAAATAATAAGGTAACGGAAAAGGTTCAACTACGCAAACTAGGGTTGAGGAGTGGTGGTAAATGATAAATGGCCAATGTGAATGCAGGAGTCCACAGATATGCACAACTGAAGCGAGTATAAACCCCCCCTAGCAGCTTAAGCCTATGCAGGCGATACTTTAACAGTCCAGATGACAATAGGGTGCAACTGCACTCAGAGTACTTGCGATTCGTGAAAACTGGCTCAATGGGAGAAGCAGGGGTTCCTCGGTGGTTTCCGGATCCGGTGAATGTTGGAGGGCACAATCTGGAGGCAAGTGGAGGGTCCCAGGAGACAGCAGGCGTTTCTGCTCAATTCAGGAACGCCATGCTGTCTCAACTGGCCGTTTAAATAGGCCTCCGTTTGACAGGAGGAGCCGAGCGACCTCTCGGCGCACTTCCGCATTCCACGGTGGAACGCACACGGTCCCGAAACCCGGAAGTGAGGAGCGTGCGCTCCACCCTGGAACGCAATCGGCCCAGCGAAGGAGCGGCTGGCTGCCGCTTCCTCCTCCCCTGCCCGCAGGTGACGGCGGCGGCCGTTACAGGAAGCTACCAAAAACTTCCCACCCGCTGCCAGGCAACCGCGGCCTCCTGGAAAGCAGCACACGTGCACAATCCCGGATAATACTGCAGGAGAAAGGAACAGGAGAAAGGCAAGGATGGACTAAGCAGCCATCACAGTCATCTTAACTGGTAAAAACTATTTAAGCTGTTTAAAGACATGGCCCCTGCACATTAGGCCACCCCGCATCAAGGAGGTTTACTCCCAACTGCAGCGTCCACAATGGGAGCCAACCTGTGGGTAAACTCCGTTAACAAGCTTGCACAGAATCTTCCAGAACCATGTCCACTGCTAGGAAAGTCCTGAGCAAGACAGAAAACCACATGTCAGAGGCTGAGCTAACATGAGTGTATGCTGACATGAGCTTCCCAGGTTGCCAATGGTGATGCCTCCGAAGCCGCATTAATAGCAAAAAATTATGTATGGGGAGCAGATAGTACACCCGTACTGGCAGAGGGAAGGATCGTGCTACAAAAGGTAAGTATAGCGCTGGGGGAGGGAATGTGGGGAGAGGTGGCCAGATTTGAGCAGGTAATTCAATTTTCCCAAATTACTTGAACCTACCCTTTAATGTACATTGTGCGTGTTAGAGAGAATTGCCTATTCACATGCAGATGGCAGCTGGGCTGTGGTTGGTTTTAATTTAATTTTATAGTTTTTTTAACTTTTATCACTTAATCTTTTTATTTTTTACTTTTTCTTATCAATTTTTATTTTAGTTTTTACTGTTTTATTAATTTATTATTTTTGTACTTTTCCAGTTTTTTTTCACTTTATTACTATCACACAGGGGCTAACAAGCCTGTGTTTGGAGGTGACAGAATCTCCTTATGGAACCTGCCCTCCAACATTGAACATCAAGCAAATGCATTGTGCTCAATTCTGTGCAGCCTGTGACAGCTGAGATAGGGGGCGCTGTGAGTACACCGCTCCTGTGTCACCGATCAAAGAGAGCAGAGCGGAGAACGGACGTTCTCCGTTCTGCTCCCCGCTCTCCAACGTGAAATGATTGCCGTGATCCTGAGTCCGCCAGAAGAGCGGCGGATCCCGAAAAACCATGGGGGGGGGACAAGATGGCTGTTCAATTTATACAAATGATCTGATATCACTTGTAATAAATGAGCGGCGGCTCCCCCACTCTACATTTAGCTCTGCTAAAATGTAGAAGAAGAAAAAACTACCCACCCGGAACTGCATTTCCCAGGCAACACGAATTCCGCACCCATGGTCATACATGGTGTTTTGAAAACTAATCTGTTTTCAAAAACATTGAGAGAGAGACAATAAGGCTAAGAGTTAATTATAAAAACTCAGTCATGCAGATGAAATTGAAAAAATAAATAAACCCAAAACAGGATTTTGCTTTTCACATAAAGATTAGAGTGAAGATTCTCAAATCAGGCTCAATAGAACACTGTGGCCGCCATACTCAAACAGTCATCTTTGATAATTCATGTGCTAACATGGTTGTATTACTGGAGTGTATATGTTGCAGTCTAGCGTGCCAACTCATTATCTGTGCATAAGGAAACATCCTCTGTGTTTGCGAGATCCATTGGGCTCCAGAGCGCACAGCTGTAAGCTTTTGGTCCAACCATAATGTTTTACTGTTACCCCGTTTCAAAAGCCCTACCAAAAACATTATTTCCACTGTGGTCTTTATAAAACACTACGTACGACACATAACTAAAGGCGAGTGAATAACCCAGCCGAAGCGAAGTGAGCCGAACGATGTTCGACTATTCACTTCTGGCTTCTATGGCTGATTTCAGCCGTACATCGGCTAAAATCAGCCATACTTCGGCTAAGCCAAAGTGCAGAAGGACTTCGCCTCAGCCGTCCTAATATCTGGATAGGCTGAGCCAAAGCTCCGGAACTCACTCGCTGCTGTTCGCTTCTATGAAAATCATAGTGGCCGAGCGGCAGTGAGTGAATAGCCGAATGCCAAGCGACAAAAAAAAACAACAAGTGGGCGGAGCTAGCAGTGATAGCTAGCTCCGCCCAACAGCTTCCTATTGGCCAGCACCTGCCAGAGTCTTCTAGTAGGTCCCGGCCAATGAACAACAACTGGGCGGAGCCGGCCGTGTTTAATGACAGATCAGTGTCCCCAGGTCATTTGGGACGCTGATCTGTCATTACAACTGGGTGGATCGAGCCGTGAGATCACAGCTGGCTCCGCCCAGCTGTCATTTGCGCGGAGATTGGCCGGCTTCGGCAGGCCGTTCTCCACACTTTGGGTGTCACTACGGCTCAGCTGAGCCGATGCATATACGTTCGGCTCGGCTGCTGTATGGGCTATGGTGAATAGCCCGTACAGCAGCCCTTAGGTTCAACTGAACCGAAGGGCAGAGGCGACCGAAGAGAGCTGGATCCTTCGGCTCTTTAGTGAAGAACCCCCCCTCAGACATAAAGTGACACTAAACTCAGGAATGCAATCTTAAAAATGCATTCAAGGTAAGTTAATTATCCCTGATATCTTATGTTATATCTTATGTAATGCATCATACATTTTGCATCATACATTTCAGTACTATTTGTCATAAGGACCTATCGCTTTAGGGATTCAATGTTATGTGATCTAAAGTTATGTTGTTGGTATTTTGTATCTTTACCCAATAAAAATGTTTTGGAATTAAAAAAAAAAAATGCAGTCAAGTATAGTACTACTATAATATAACTATTAACAAAATGCATGTCCTTCCTTCGGGAGGATGGCTACTTTTGCTCCCTATGATCCTTGTGCGTATTGTAAAGTAGCCACTGCTCTTGTGATGGACATTTAATCTTGTCCCACATTTAAATTACTAATTTGTATTGAGATTATAATCTATCACAGGAGTGAGCTTGGAATGGTGGCTACTTTACAGCACACAGGGACCATGGGGAACAAAAGTAGCCACCCTCTAGAAGGAAGGACAGCGTCATTACAAAATCAGAGATGATTTGAGGATCTACAGCCGAGTGATACACAAACAAGCTAAATTTTTTGTTAATAGTTAAGGTACTTAAACTCAGGAATTAAATCTTAAAAATGCATATATGGTCACTTTAAATAAAACACACCAGTCAGAATTAATAATTCTAGGAATGGGCACACTTTCCTAGTTTGTTTTAGAGCACATTGCATTGCATTGCATTAAGCAGCTCATATATTTGATTGGGCTGTGTAACACCACCAAAAAAGGCATTGTACATTAGTGTATTGCGGCGTATTGCTGTCGGTTGGTACATTCTGAATGGCACCCCACTGCACCTTGCTAATGTGAGTAACGTTACAGCAGCGTGAAGCTGTAAACAGGCCCTTAATATTATTATGACTCCTTTAGCAGTATGCAAATCAAAATGAAAGGATCAGTTGTCCATTTTATAATAAAATTTATTACTTTTAAAATGTAATAAAATGGGAAACTCTGCATGGCAGAAATACATTTCCTAAAAAGGAGTGACCCTTTTTAGCTTGTGCAAATAATCTGGTTTTGTAAACATTAAAAACTGAGTGTTCAAGTTTTATCCCAAAATACAGATAAATTGCTACAAAAATAAATTTGACAACTGTTAAATAAGATAAAAAAATAATCCCAGAAAAATGAGTATACAACACTTTTGTCCCTGTTTTTTCATGTTTGTTGTTAATGCCCTGTATTATATCTGAAATGGGAAAGACTTCAAATAGTCTTTTAACACTCTGTTGACTGGGATTCTGTCCAAGTTCGGTCTCCCAAATGTTGCCAATATGCTTTTTCGACAGAGTTCTTGCAGAGGCCTTAATCTGACCTTCCTTAAAGGAAAGGAAAGCATATTTTTAGGAAAAAGTAAATAATGTTCCACTAGCTGAAAAAGGCAGTTGAAAGATTCTTTGCTGCCATCTAGACTGAATCTCCCAGCCTGAAAGTGGATCCTGATGCTGATGGGTCCTGAAACTGTTTTAACACTGATGGCAAAAAAGCAGTTTTTCTGTCTACTGTCCCTGATAAGGAAAGTGCCCACAGGCTCCTGCCTTAGTTTTTCGTGTGCCACATTCACCATCATCGGTCCCCAGTAAAACCCACAACTATCCAGCATACTGCTGGTCTTGGTAATAATAATGAAATCCGACTGAGAGCGGAAGGTTCTAAAATGTGTATCACAAAGCTGTGCTACAGGAAGAGGATGTCCTGGGCTGTTATGGATGGCTCTGGCAGGCAGGATTTGGGAACGATCTGTGTTTGAGGCTTCCAGGCGTTGAGATCTTCTGTCTGCAACTGCATTATCTGCTTCCACCTTGCTGTGTGCTACCATCCTATAGACTAGATCAACTTATGTGGTCTTCCATAGCGTCCCTCCTAGTGGTAGTTCTGCACTTTCTTTGCTGTTCGCCTAGAAATCCAGAGACATAGATTAGATTAAAGAATAAAATATAATGAACACAATAACAATGCAGTAGTATATAATGCACAATACCTTCTTCTCAGATCACAAATAGCTTGAAATGTGCATGTTAGATGTCCTTTAAAAATTTAAAACTGCAAAAAAATATGAAAATCCATGGCAACTGATGAATACATAAAATATAATGGATCTTAGAGCAGCGAACTGTAGCTATCTTTGTCTGTTTCTTTATGGCAACCTAAATTGCAAAGCTGCATTTCCCATCACCAACTCATCTTGCAAAACAGCTTTCTATTTTTACTCTATAAACCGTAAGTGACACATTCATGTTAAACCTGAACACTCAGCCTCTGATACACAATGCAAGTCTGTGTTACCCCTCTTTCCTGTTACTCAGTCCTTACCAACTATGACATAGTCGGTCGGCAGTAAATTGCTTTCTATCAAATAATATGTTTTAATGTCTTGTACAGACAGTGTGGTTCAATAAATCTTTGCTGATTGACTTGACCTTATCTCTGCCTGGGATTTTAGAATTCAGCTCTTTCTGGTAGAAGTAGTCTCCACTTATTGACTGCATCAGTAAATGGTTGAGAAGCAAGCAGGCATTCTCAGAAAACAATTCCCCACAGCCATTTTTACAGCTACTCTTGCTGGCAGGCATTGATTTAAAAACAAGCATTTAGGCAGATTGCCGTTTCTTTGAATGGTCAGTGCCAGCTCTAGTCTATCGGAAGCTTTATGTTTTAAAATTCTACTTTGATAATTAACCCTTACAAGAGTTAAATCTACAAAAGATTTACCCTTTATTTCTGATTTCCAGGGAATACAGCTTCAACAATAGCCCTAATTTCATAAGCAATGTATTAAAGGAGAACTATGGGGTCAAGGCTTTTCCCCATAGTTCTCCTTAACTAACACAAACTAATGTCCTCCCGTTACCTCAGCTTAGCTCAGTATACCGCGAGCTACAGCTCGCGGTATACTGAGACGCCGCAGCCGGAGCAGATCCCGACATCGATGTGGAGATCCGCCAAGCTGCTTGAGTGACAGCTGGCTCTGCCTATCTAGAGGCAGAGCCAGCTGTACCCGCCCCCTCCCCCGTCCGTTCCGCCAATCAGCGCTGGCGGATCGGAGCGGGGAATCCAGCACCTCCCCTGTCACGGCAGAGAGCCGTGACAGGATCGAGAGGTGAGCGAACGCCGGTATCTGTTCGCTCACCTCCCGATCTACTGAGTCGACCTGTGACAGTCTCATTGTCACAGGTCGGCTAGAACTATGAGGTGAGTGGAAATCACTCATCTCATAGTTCTCCTTTAATGTGTAGATTTCAGCATCCTAATGCAACCAGTTAGAAATCATCTTTCAATAAATCTTTGCTGATTGACTTGACCTTATCTCTGCCTGGGATTTTAGAATTCAGCTCTTTCTGGTAGAATTCAGCTCTTTCTGGTAGAAGTAGTCTTAAACATTACATGTTGCGATTATGTGAGTTCTGGTGCACTATGTTAAAGGTGCAGAAATGTATTTTAATTGCCATCCATTCTTAATGGTTGGGCTGGCCTAAGCAACGCAGATCAACATGCAAAATACCACTTGTTAATGTTTGTGCGGTAACGCACCAGAGTGGGTTAGTATGAAGGAAACCTAAAATGACTTTAGCTTTGCATAGATCACTGTAGCCCTGGGCCTGCTCCAGTATTTCATATGCATGTAGCAATACTTAATTAAATGCAAGGGTGGATCCTGAACATCTGTGATTTGCAAGGTCTCCTTATAAACTGGGGTCACCCTAGTACAGAGAGCTTAGGCAACTGTACAAACCAGCTCCATACTGATTAGCAATATAGGCATTCCATGACAGAAAAATTATTGCATATTTTCATAATAAACTTTACTGTAGTAAAAAGCCTCTGTCTATATCATCTGTTTTCTATTTTTTTAAATTACATTTAGGCCTTTATTCACAAGCCAAAGAACAATATATGAAATAAATGATAGCATAAACAGTAAGATTTCAACAGTTCCCTTCATACCAATGTAATGTAGCCGGTAATGTCTTCTTCAATACACATGCAGCCACACACAATAATCCTAATTTTTTCAGCATGCATTATCCTAAGTAAAGATGATTGCAGTTCAGAGGTCCCTTTTTGAGCAAATAATTATTCAGCTGTGGTTGAACTACAAGTCCCTGAATAGCAAGACAGCAGGCAAAAATTGTATTCTGGGACTTGTGGTTCCATTGTAACATTAAAACCACTAGTTTCCTAATACTCTGTCCCATCTAACTATGCTAGCCATATGCCAAATGGCATAATTGTGTGGTCAGAATGAATAACAGATTTGTTATGCATTCTGACCACACAATTATGGCATTTGGAGATTGAATTCTTTGGAGATTATCTAAGGATTATAAAATGGGTATGTGTAGCATTTCCTAACAGACTCGGGACAAAAACAGCAGACCCCCCTGAATCTTATTTTCAGTACTTTATGACTGCACTGGTAACACACTAAAAATGCAGTGTAAAATATCATTGGCACTACACTCAGTATTCCAGTCTCTGCTTTGCATCTAAAACCAATTTACTAAGTCAAGAATAAAGCAAAACAGCAATAGTACACATGCAGAATCCTAAATTTCCATGTAATGTCCGCAGTGCATTGGTAAAGCCATTCATTGTTCTCTGCTCACACCTACTTAGCTGCAGAATCATTCCATGATGGCTCATTTCACTTCCAGCTAATTTCTTCAGAAGGAAAACAATGTCCCATTGTAAAACTTCTCTTGAAGCTATAAACAGTAGAGGTCAAGCTACACTGACACAGCTTCTCATTGGCTGTAAGAAATAGAGATTTGTTAGGCTTTCTGAATTCAATAGAATTTAAAGGTTCTGTATTGAATCTATGTATCTTTGTGACTGGGCCCGGGACAAATATCAGTGAGAAAAGTGAAGCATTTGCAACACTCATTTTTCATCCTCCTGGCTTCTCTACATAAGATATTCCACTATGCTCGTTAGAAAAGAAATCAGTGTATTCCACAGGTACGGTCACACAAATAACAGTCCTAGGGAGGCCAATGGTAATATAAAACATAATCTCCTACAGCGAGGAATCCAGAAGTCACAGAAGAGAGGCGGAAAGCTATGCAGCAAACAAGCTCCGTGCGGGGCTGACATCGCCTCTGAGCTCTTGTGAGTGACACGTTCTTTTTTTGTATCAGCAGCGCCCCCTCCCTCCTCCCCTGTTCTCTGAAATCACGTGACAGACGCCCAGCTGAGGTAGCTGCTACTTTCACTTTCTATTCAGGTAGTTATTCTAGGAAAAAGAGAAAGAGAACTTAGTGGGTAAAAGAAAACCACTTTTCAGGAAGAGCTCAAAGGGACATTGTTTCATTATTCCTTTTGGTGCTGGGTTTCTGTTTCAGGGAATAGAGAGTGGATACTGTGCCTGTTTTGCATTTTTGTTAATAGTTAAGGTACTTGAATGCATTTTTAAGATTTAAGTCCTGATTTTAATGTCACATTAAACTCAGGAGTTAAGTTTTAAAAATGCATTCAAGTACCTTAATTATTAACAGAAATGTACATTATTTGTGTATCATGTGGCTGTAGATCCTCAAATCAATTCTGAATTTGTGCTGAGGCTGTCCTTCTTTATGGAGGGTGGCTACTTTTGTTCCCCATGGTCCCTGTGTCTGCTGTAAAGTAGCCACCACTCGAAGCTACAATCTCACGTTCAGTTTACTCATTTATATTGAGATTGTAGAGTGAGTTGGAGAGGTGGCTACTTTATTACCACCTCCCATCCGCCGAATGTAGCAAAACGGCTGGACGGTAGCCTTGTAGGAGCGGGTGGGTGTCTTAAAATGTCCTTTGTGCCCGCAGCCGTTCACGTGCTCCACCTGGACCGTACGAGCAGGAAACTGTCAAAATTTGGAACAGCCAGCGATGGCTGTTTATTATTATTATTATACAGGATTTATATAGTGCCAACAGTTTGCGCAGCGTTTTACAATATAAGGAAGACATTACAATCACAATACAATTCAAGACAAGATGGTAAGGAGGGCCCTTGTATGTGGTACCTTACTGTGCGCCTCCCTTGACTCTCCTTCGCTGCAGTTGCCATGATCCCGTGCTCTGTGCCTGATCCAGGACCAGCATTGTGAGCTGTGTAGGGAGACCGGAGGGAGATCAGTACACGATCTCCCTCCGATCTCCGCCCCGTTTCATGAATGCAGGAAGTGTCGTTTACTACATCACTTCTGCATTCAGCTGTCCCTCTCCGGCTACAGAAGCCGGAGAGAGGCTGGTGATGCAGATCTATGCTTCATCAGCTTCTCTGGGGGTCCCTAGGTGACATTAGGGGTCTTTGAAATCTCCATAAAGAGGACCTGTCACTGTAATTTGATATCACATGGAGGTCTTCTTAGCCTGTGATAACAAAGTTCAGTGTAAAAGAAAAAAAAAAAAAAAAAAAAAGTCAAACATAGAAAAAAAAACACAAATTGTTTTTAAAGTCGCCCACCCCCACATACACATGCAAACATGCGCCAGGTACGCCTACGTTTGAAAACAATGTTTGCGCCTATTATGCCGCACATGTTACATATCATCGAGAACGCCAGAGTGTGAGCAATAATTTTAGGGCCATCAATCACTGTTAACACTAAATTGATGAGTGGTAAAAGCTTTTAAAGCGTCACCAATGGCCAATTTTGGGTGTTGTTGTTTTTTGCGGGCGTGCACAATTTTAAGCTTGACATGTTTGGTGTTTATTTACCCGATGTGGCCCCATCTTTTATATTTTACAAAAAAATTGGGTAAAAATAAGGGAAAACTTTTTTTTTTAAATTTTCGGTCGTTTTTTCATTATATAGTAAAAAATTAAAAACCCCAGTGGTAATTAAATACCACTAAAAGAAAGCTCTATCTGTCCCCCAAAAAAAGGTATAAAATGAATTTCAGTACAGCAT